CTGGTTGGCTTCATCCTAAATCTATTGGGCATGGCCTTTGCTCCCTTGGTCTGAGACCCTCAAGGAAATTACTGCTCCTCTGGCCACAGCTGACAATCAATGCACCCTTGATGGATAGATGCATGTATGTGCGGATGAATGAAATGTCAGTTCTATTCTCTAGAATCATAGTTACGCGAAAAATAAAGTACACTGAATTCCAGAATGGATTGCTTATGACAATATATGTGTGACAACCACGGAATTCAGCAATAACAACCGACTGGTTTCTCCCTCTGTAGTTATTGCTTCCATGGGAGACCAATGCATGGAAGGCGGAAGTCATCAGAATCATTGAATGAGCTGGTTCTTCTGTGCTCCTCTCATCCCCTGCCTGCTTCTGTTACAACGCTTGTCATGCTGTATTATAACCCATGATTTCCTTTCCCATGTCCTCCTCAGTGCTGTGTATAACTTGAAAGTCGAGATTATAGCCTTTTACTCATATGACTTCATTACTTAGCATATGCTTGGCCACATAAGGAAAACTCAATAAAAGTGTGTTAAATAAATGAACAGGGGAAATGGCTATACAAGAAAAGAACGTATTAATGATCATATGAAGCCAAATGTTTGTAAAACTCAAACACGGAAAATAGGCTGTATCAGGAAGAAAACATTAGTCAAAAATCTTTGGCCCAGCCCATGTAGACAGTCAGCCTACCTTACTGGAATAAAATCTAGTAAAGACTCCACTCTCCTGAGTATAACATTTAAATCATTTAGAGCAGAACTCCTAGGAAAGCATGCTTAAAATAAAGAAGCCCATCTGGAATTACAAGTATGTATCTGGGGGGAAAAACACGACACAACACAATGCTAACCACATCTATTATTTTTAACACACAACCTACAAAAAGTAAAGACTTACAAAATCTTCTTGGTCAGAGAATCTATGAATAAAAAGATTGATTTTCCCAAGTGGAGAAGTAAAGACCCCTGAAGGGACATGAGATTTTTATGTTTATCTAATGCAGCTTAGGTTTAAAAGGCTGGGAAACAATAACTTGGCATAAATTATTCTTCTGTTCCTGAGGCCCCCTGCTTGTTCTGGAGAGTTGCAGAGTCAACAAAACCCAAGGGCGCTATTAAACAGGAGACTTTCTGTTGTTCATCCACTTCTGAGGAAATAGTCATACAACTCAACCAGATATCTGAATTTTCCTTTAGCTTCTTCATTACTTCCCTAGGCCTGGGCATAGTGCAGAGGCTAATGCTTCTTACACAACTAGATCTTTGCACAACTATTTGCTTCTTTCCCCCAGTCTTCCCTAGCACAAATCCTCATACACCATGTCCCAGGCACCTTTCTCCTCTGAACCTGTCACTGGGGAGCCAGATTCCAAGCCATCCAATATTCTATTTCACCTACAACTATAATTGGTATAATCCTGTTATATGTATAAAATGCCATTACATACATAATACCTTAAGAAAAAAAAAAAGATCACCAGTTAACTGGAGAGCTGGATGAGAGGTGTGGACAACTGCCATGCTGTAGGCCACCATGAGTGAGCCAACCCCCATTGCCTAGTCCAGAGAAACCTGAATCTCATCAAGTCCCTCACCTGAACTACCGGTTACCGTACACATACAAGACAGAGAAATTGGTTAAATGATACCAAGAGGAGTCCACAGTTGAATATGAGCACTTTTATAGGATGAGTGACCTGGTTTATTTAACAACTGGTGTGGAAAAAGAGGGAGGGAGCTGTTATACACGAAAAGAGACTTAGGAACATGTCAACCAAATGCAGTGTGTGGACCTTGCCTGGGTCCCAATTTAAACAAACTAACTGGTAAAGCTATTTTTGAGACAATCAAGGAAATTTAAACATAACCTGAATATAAAATGATAGGAAGGAATGACTGTTAATTTTTAAGTTAATCTTAAATTCATTTAAACGTGATCATTGTTAAATCTTATAAAATTGATTCTGCAGCTACATCAAGCAAGTTTATTATTTACAGATACATAGTAATGTATTATAAATGGTAAAAATAGTTTTATGTTTAGGATTTGGTTTCCAATACTCCAACAAAAACAGAACAAACCAAAATAGGGAGTATATGTTTGTGTGCAGGACTGGCAACATTTGAAAACTGTTAAACTGACTAATAGGCACCTGGGGGAGCTATTTTACCACTTTCTCTGTTGTGACTATGTGAAAATTTCTGCAAATAAAAACGAGAATTTTTTTCAATTTTAAAAAGAGAGAAAGAATGGGAGGGAATTGACAACAGTGTCGAACTCTGCTGAGGGGTGGAATAGATGAGTAAAACTTCTCATTCAATTTGATGACTGGAGGTCACTGGAAATCTTAGTGAGAACTGTTCTGAGGTCAGGTGGGAGTAGAGGGAAATTTAGAAACAAGAATTTTTCCTCCCAGTGGGAGAGACTTTGAATTTTAAGAATCTGATGCAATGAGAAGTTGAACATACAAAAGCAAGAAAACTTAACCAATAGGGAGAGATCCCAAGAAAACAGGCAAGAGTGAGATCTGATTCTCAGAAGCAGGGACTGGCCTGGGAGAGGAGAGAAGGTAACTTCCCATTAGGAAGAAAAATGATAGAACAGATGCTCACGTAGGTATGTGATATGCTTGGGTCAAAACAAGGAGAGATTTGCTATCTAATGATGGCTTCTGTTTTCTATATAAAGTGGGAGGAGAGTTCAAACCAGGAGGTGTCAAAAAAAAAAAAGGTACAATTTCAGGATAGTGTCGATCGCAATTTACAGTTACATCAGTTTTCCCGGTGGTGCAACTGTCCCAGCAGCCCTGGGCTGCTCTGGCGTTGGCTCAGAGAAAGGAAGTCTGGGTGCATTCAAGGCAGCGGTTTTGCCTAACATAGCACAAAAAAGGAGGGGAGACTTTAGGATGGTGATAGGAGAGTTAGTGAACTGAATTATAAATTACCCAACCTAAGCTGGGTAAGAAAGCAAATGGGTGGATTGGAGAATTTCAAGAAAGTGAACAGGTAAAGGAGCAGGAGTTGCAGGAGGTCTGAGTGCCACTCAGCAAGCTTGAAGGGGAGACGGCTGTGGTCAGAATGGGGACACTTCAATTAGGGGGTTTGGAGGTGGGTCTGAGGGTGATATGAGGACAAGGAATGAAGGTGAGATAGTGGCAACAGAAAGTAGAGGAAGTAAGTAGATAACTGGATTGGAAGTCATTTTCAGCATTCAATTAAGATGTTCATTCAAGAAGAATTTCCTAACAGTCCTTACCCCGAAAGGTGTAGGCAAACATTATTATGCTACAATAATGCAGGGCACACAGAGAAAAAGGAATTTTTTTAAAGAACTTTCTTGGGGAACAACACACATGGAAAATAACGGTGTCACTTTGAACTTTCAGAATTCCTTTGCCTACATAGCTCATGCACTATTTTTTATTCTCGCAACATTTTTAGGGAAACAGATATGAAGAAACATGGGACAGAATGTCTATACTTTATTAAGATAGGGTTCTCGGAAGTTAATTGACTCCCATTCATCTTTTCAAGCCTAGAAGGAGCCAGCCTATAGACCTCTCGGGCAAGGAGGCAGAGCCTAACGCCACAGCTGCTCCGTAATTCTTCCTTCCACTGGCTAGAGCAGGTTCAGGACAGCTGCTCCCACAGAAAGGCTTCCCTCTCCCAGAGTCATGTGTTAACTCCACCACCGGGTTGCTAATGAATGCTGGGACTGCCACATGGTTAGTATGGCTTTGTCCTTCCCACAGAGCTTGCTCACAGCCACCCTGTTCCTGGACTGGCCTAGGCCTGCATATGCCCAGCCCACCAGTGAGAGGACACTCAGCCGGATCATGCCGAATATGGCCCGCTCTCCTTTCCTCCTTCCACCCCCTACTTGCACAAGAAGAGTGAGTCAACCCACTCACTTCTCTGCTTTCTGCCACCACTCAGGTTTATTTATGTACATTCTTAAGTCTTTTCTTAAGGTTCATTTGGCAGCAAGACTGCAAGGAGAACCAAGAAATCCTCTGCGGAGTATCTGTCATCATTTTTTTCCAGCAATATTTATAGCACAGTACTATAGTCTAAACACCAAGCCTAGTGATAGAAAACAGAAGAAATAAAAACATACATCTTTCCCTTTCAGTGGATAAGGACAACTGACTTAGAAGAAACTGAAGCAAAATAAAAGAAAAAAACACAATTGACACATCTGAATATTACAGTATTATTAACAGCGAACACAAAGAATTATTCAAGTGCTTTGCAAATGAAATGTTGTCTTTAGGTTAAAAATAAATTTGCAATAGAGACTTGAAGACCCAGGGAAGGGAGTAATTCTCCTGTGGCAGGGACTTTTGGAGGAAGGATGCCACACTCGAGGCTTATGATTCTCAGGGCCCACTGCTAACTGATGTACACAAAATTGGTAAGCTCCCACATCACATTACCTCACACACAACGTGAAGGTACTTAGACATACTAGTGAACTCTCATTAGTTTTCATTACTCATAGATGGACACATCAACCCACAAGATTGTAGTCTAACTATACATGCACTATAATCATAATTTATCTCAGAAAGAGTTAGCAACATAATGAAAATTTTTTATATCATTTTGAAATAATGATTATTCCACCTGGAAATACTCTGTACTTAAAAACTCAGCCAGCCAGAGGCTCACTTTTGCCTAGTGAGTTTACACCATCTTACTTTTGCCTCAACTCCTCTTCTTCAGGGAGATTCTAACACAGCTTTATCTTGTAATTGATATTCAGGTTCCTGTAAATCACAGGACTACATTCAGTCCGAGGGCTCTGTCTGTTTTTAAGGCACATATGAACTTTTATCAAGAATAGCATTCTATATAGAAAAAAAAAAACACAACAAACTTGTACTTTTCTGTCTCATTTACAAGAGCCAATTGGTCTGGATACAGGGTGGAAGAACTCTTTTTTTCATTGCTCTCACTAAATAAATCCATCAAAACTGTACCTGGTTTTAGCATGGTTTCAGGCTCTGGGCAATATAGGTCTCAAAACATCCTAGGTAAAGAAGGCAGATCTAAAAATTTTAAAGGAAAAAAAAGAATCTTAATAAGATTCCATGGGAAAAAAGACTGATAGATATTCTGATTTAATGAATGTCATTTCTGAACATTTTTGCAAATAAAGTATTGATTCCTTAAATACTTTATCTTTCTCTATTTGCAAAATTTCAAATTTTTTAATAATAGTTGCAAATTTCAAATTATATGTGGATTTAAACACCATGTATAAAATTTAAACTATGGAAATGAAAAAGCAAATGCAAGACTTACTTATATTCATATTTTCCTGATATATCTGTCACCATTTCTGCTCCCAAGTTGTTCTGAGAATGTCTAAACACATTTTTTTACAAATGGACAATACTTGTAATGTTTCCACTGTTAATATCTGCATTGATTAATTTTGTGTAAGTCATACTTGCCTTAAGTTTTCCACTGTAAATGAAAATAAAACTAATAAGATTGCACTGGGTATGCACATTGTTGAATGAAAGAAAACACATCTGTGTATGTACATGGAAGAGAAGCTTATATTTGTTGGCATTTATTTGAGGGAGATTTATTCTTTCCATTCATATAATCACCATCTCAGAATAGCATAGTTTTGAAGTTTGAATGGAACGTGGGGTAAATGGAAAGCTTGGCTAGTTGATTTTTAGGGAATATCTACAGAAGCATCATCACAATGAGTTCTCCATAGTGAAAGATCTGGTCTTCACTCTGTAGTTTCAGAAACCAGATTATACTCATGTCAGAAAATCAAGACACTGTCAATGTTGGACTAAACTTACATAATTTCTGATCTATAAATCAGTAGCCTGTTGATAGTTCACAATGGGAAAATGCTTCCTTTCTATTAAACAGAATGCTCTCATACTCTTTCTCTGTTACCTTCTTTATCTATCCAAAAGAAATTTGGTAACCAAACTAGTAAACAAGAGATATTTTTGTGCTCATGGCAATCAAGCAGAGAAAAGTGGAGTATCTTGAGGAATAAGGCATATTCCAGCCAAGACAAAATAAAAACCACTGAAGGATTTCTTCCCGCAATGCAAAAATCTTTCTCTGTGGCCCAGGTTGCTTGTAACACCCAAACCAACATCTCCTACCTCCAGAATGGTTACCTGACTCCCAATGTCTATGTTTATTAATAAACATTATCTTTCTGATGATACAGTCCCTTTTTTGGTTTTGTCAGTAACATCAATTAAGCTCTAGTTAGTAACTGATTGTTTAATCTCAACTTATTCCTTTGTTGCTCCAAACTATATCACCTTGCCTTATTTTCTTCATAACTAAAAACTTTTCTTTTGTAAATTTATTGTCTCTTTTAACTATAATATAAGCTCTATGAGAGTGGGACCTTTGTCAGAATCCCTGATGATTAGAATAATTTCTGGTGACTGTAGGGACTGACATGTTTGTTGAATGAATGAATGAATGAATGTTGGCATTCCTAGGGACTGCTTTATTTTATTACTAGTAGAATTAACTTACTTAATTGCCAGAGAACAACTTTTCTTCCAGATTCTTAAGGGTAATCTTCCTGTTATTCCATGAACTGCTTTCTCTTGGCACCCATATAATGTAACCCTACATAAAAGCATCATTAGAAGCTGAATTAAGATGTAACCTACGGTAAAGCTGGACTCATAAAGCTTGACTAGAGAATAGGAATAGACTAGCCTACACATTCATTTAGCAGACTTTATTTCAAGAGGAGAACACTGCTATGAACCTTCAATAATTGGTTATTCTTAAAGAATTGAGTAACCATGCAACAACAGTAAAACAGCTTCTTTAGACATTACCGAAAGGACAGAGTTGCTGAAACATCCCAACACATCGTGAAAGCGTCAGTAACTGCATATTTGTCACCACCTGCTCCAGACAGGTGCCTTTGTGCAGGGCACAGACCACACAGCTTTATTCAATGTCTTGTGTGCTGCAGAGTCACAGGGACACTATTGCCTTGAACTGCCCTCAGAACGGTTCTTTTCAAAATCAAGAAGGATAGACAGAAATAAAATATGCTCAGGGAAAAGTATTTGGAACAGAGGAAAAGCATGTGTGAAGTCTGGAAGAGAGGAAAGGATAGGATCTATTCAATACCAGGCAGTGCAAACAGTGTAACCTCATCAAACTGAAGGTGAACAAAGTGGTGAGAGACATAGCTAGAAAGATGAGCTAGAGTCTGTGCATCAGTCAGGATCCAGGCTCACTGCCTAGTCTTATATTTATAGGCATTGCACTAAGGAAAAATGATATGCAGAAACTCTGCCTTGATAAAGCCAAGGCATCTCTCAACTGGCAAAATAACCACAGAATCTCTGCTCTTCGTGCCTGTGCCCAGTGTTTGAAGATGATGGAAATCATAGAGATAAAACACCTAATCCATTCATTTGCTTGCAAAAGGGTAACATCTAATTAGTATGTACAGTGTTAATTCTGAAATAAATTACAGAATGAAACAATGGAAGTGAAATATGTAACACAAAAATGCTAAGGCTAATTAAATAAAAGCCTAAGGAAAACTCAAGTTAAAAGGAAACTCTAGTAAAAGATACACAGGGAACATCTGTACTGAATTATTCCTCTTCTGGCTGTTCTAACACATGTCCTCTATCTGTGGGTACTACTCAGCCTATTAGACATTTAGCAATCTATATAAATGTTTTCGTTTATACGTAATTTGCAACTTATTCAAATAAAAGTATATGCTTAAATTTGTTTGACATTAAGTGGATTGGATTCATTATTTATTATTATGTTTAATAACTATTAAATATACTTTGTATACTTTACTGTCAATTTTTTCCACTCGCTTTATTATCTAGATCTATATTTTGTCATCATTTCTTAATACTCTGTTTCTGGCTGGAACTATGAAGGAAATAGGTGTTAACATTTCTACTTTATATCTGGAAAACACGAAGTAAAAAGAAAATTCAAAGACAACATGAGGCAGTCTGTGGCATTATAGGAAAAGAGAAAACTGAACAGTTTACCTAGCCTGTCTCGCTGAGCATTTACTGAGTCCCCAGCACCAGGTGAGGTGCCAGTTCCTTGCTCTGCCTACCTGGCAATTGCTGACTTCTTTGTTTTCCCAAGTGTCCCACCTACATGAAGAAATATAGACCCTTGAGTGCTTTTGCTTCGACTCAGTTTAGCAGACAATTTGTGCCTCCAACCTGGAAAGAAAAAGAGTTACAAGCATTTGTGAACCATAAATACTGGGCCCTTTTATGGAAATATAGCTTTTGGGGTTGTGTTTGAACAGTGCTGTACATATTCATGAAAAATACAACTTTAGTTTCAATTAATTTGGTGAAAAACTACTTTTAAAATACATAGTAAGGTTCTCATATTAATTTTATAGGAGTAAATACTATTTAATATATTATGAGTTAATATTTAATAATATTTTAAAATATTATTTTAATAATACTACTAAAAGAAAAAAATTTTAATGACTTTTAAAAATGGAAGTCCTTTGTCTTCCTTTGTCCATTTCCTTTGTATTTTGTGGCATATGTACTTTCTATAGTCAAGTTTTCATAGTTTGACATAGTTGCCTAGTTTGACAACTAATTCAGAAAAAAAATCTAGAGGACCAACTGGAGAACAAGGTGTGTGCTTTTGTAATCACTTGTTTGACCATTTGCAAGGGAATTATCCTATTGGAAGAGATATTGTATTGACCTATATCTATATTGCCTGGGCATTTTTCACACATATCCATCCCTCTCCTTGCAAATGGTCAAACATAACTTTTAAAAAAATCTAAACAACAGATACTGCAGAGGATGTAGGGAAAAGGGAATACTTCTACACTGTTGGTGGGAGTGTAAACTAGTACAACTTCTGTGGAAATCAGTGTGGCAATTCCTAAAAGATCTAAAAATCAGCCTTCCATATAATCCAGCAATCCTCCTTCTGGGAATATACCTGGAGGAACTCAAATCACTCTATGAAAAAGATACCTGCATATGCATGTTTATTGCAGCATTACTTAACAATGGTCAAAACATGGAATCAACTTTGCTGCCCATCAAAAGTAGACTGGATTTAAAAATGTAATACATATACGCAATGGAATATTATGCAGCCATAAAGAAGGACAAAATTATGAACTACGCAGTAACTTGGATGGATTTAGAGTCTCTATTACTCAGTGATCTATCACAGAAACAAAGAACTGTGTAACACATGTTCTCACTCATAAGCGGACACTGAACAATTATCATAATACTATAAGAAAGGGATTGGCAATAGTGGGAAACTGTTGGGGGCGGGGGCACACTTCATCAGTAAGGGTACCTGAACTCAAACCAGGTGAAGTGGGGAACAAAGTGAGGCCCAAACTTTACCTGTACAATGACATTTGTATACCTAACCCTGAATTGTACTATTAAAACAAAATCTAGACCTAAACAGATCTTTCATCCTGAATTCCAAAATTTTTGTATGCTTAATAACAAGTTGAAACCAAGGCAATACTTCATAAAAATCATTTGAGAAGAACTTGAAAGAGAAAAAAACCTACTAGAGATTATTAATTCATGAGTTAATCATTGCCAAAGAGTTATCTTTCCTTCCTCAGTCTATTCCACCGGAATATGGCTCCGAGCATCTCTCCACTGAAACCACTAAGCTCACCAGTGGTTGAATTGTTTCTTCATTCATTGAGCCTCTTTGAGACCCTCTCTCATTTGGCCTCTTAGTCTATTTGGTGTGATAAATGCTTTCTCCCCTTCTCCTCATCTTTTTTCCTGTTGCTCTTTTAGCTACTACCCCCTACTAATTTTCCTTCTCTGTCTACTCCTCAGTCTCCTTTGTAGGGGTCTTTCTCTGCTCTCTTTCCTTCCCACCTGGCATACTCTTCCTGGGTAATTACCTCATTCACTTTCACAGCACTGATTGCAGTCTGAGTGATTTCTAATTCTGTCTGTAGATTTCCCGAGGCTGAGCTGCCTAGTGAGGCATGCACACTTGCAAGCCCTAAAGGCACCTTCAACACGTTAAGAACTGAGTCCATCATCTTACTTCGAACTAGCCTGTGCTACCAAGCTCGGCAGATGACACTTTATCCATAGCCAAGAGTGTCCTTGACTCCTGCTTTTCTGCATCCAATCTGCTTCAAATCCATTCACCTAGGTCCGTTTTGCTTTTACCTTCTAGCCGTCTTTGCAATCCCTCCATTCCTCTGTACCTTTCTGCCTGAATTGCGACAATTGACTAACAAGCACCCTGCTTCCATTTGCAACCCTGTAATCTAAGGGTCCCCGAACCTGGGCCACGGGCTGGGTACCCTGCCTGTTAGGAACAGGGCGACACACCAGAAGGTGAGCAGCGGGAAACTAAGCTCCATATTCTGTCAGAGCAGTGGCTGCATTAGATTCCCAGAGGAGCTCAAACCCTACTGTGAACTAGGCAAGCGAGGAATCTAGTCTGCAGCTCCTTAGGAAAATCTAATGCCTGATGAACACTGCCCGCCTCCGATCGTGGAAAAGTCGACTTCCAAGAAACTGATCCCTAATGCCAAAAAGGTTGGGGACCGCTGGTCTTATCCATGCAGCTACTCGAGTGATTTTTCTTAAATAACCAATCTGGTAATCCTTAATACCCTCCAATGACTTTCCATTCACCCAAAGATCAAGCCCAAACTTCCCACATGGCACACAAGGCTCTTCACCGTCTGGCCCAGTCTGTCTCTCCCACCACCACAGTCTTCCTGGTCTCTTTAATCCTGGCAGAGATCTTATTCTTTCCCCTTCTGCTCTCTCTTCCAGGCATTTACATATGTAGTTCCTTCTGCCTAGAACACCCCCTACCCCCAACCACCACCTCCTCTCTCTTGTCCTTCAGGAGTCAGTTTAGAAATCATTTTCCCTCAAACCACCCCCTGCCCCCAGCCTTCTGTTCTGTATGTACCTTGAATGTCTCTTAACAGAAAGTTTATTACTCAGGATTGAAATGGAGATTTTATTTGCTGTCTTTCCCCATTAGACTAAACTCAATGAAGGTCCCCATTGAACTGTTCTTCACTGCATCCTCAGTCTAGCCCAATATCCAGTTATTTAGTAGACACTCAATTAAAAGTTTTGAATTTTTAAAGGTAAGTACCTTAACACATTACAATAAAACTTAGCTTTAATACTTACAGGCAAATGAGGAAAGAAGTCCCATGTTTAAAAAATAATATGATCCATTAGTCTTCATATTTTTAAGGTAAAATCTATCAGCAAAATGACACATTGCTGGGCAAACTTCTTTGGGACAAGAGCAATTTCCCTGATACAGAAAATAAAATGTAGTCACTTATGTAATTAGAAATGTTGCCCTTCAATAAACTCATATTATTAAATAATAATAAACATTCAGAATCTAAATAAAGCATATACACTGAAAAATGGCTAAATTGTCATGGGCAGTGGCTAATGCCCATTATCCCCAGTGTTTGGCAGACCAAGACTGGAGGATCACTTGAGATCAGGAGTTTGAGATCAGCGTAAGCAACATAGTGAGACCACCATCTCTACAAAAGAAAGAGGAGGAGGAGGAGATGACAATGTCTAACCACTCCTATTCAACATTGCACTGGAAGTCCTAGCAAGAGCAATTAAACCAGAGAAAGAGACAAAAGGCACCCAAATCAGCAAGGAGGGAGCCAAATTATCTCTGTTAGCTAACGACATGATTGTGTACCTAGAAAACCCTAAAGACTCCTCCAAGGGACTCCTAAACCTAATAGATGACTTTAGTAAAATTTCAGATTACAAAATCAATATACAAAAATCAGTAGCATTTCTATACTCCAATAATGCTCAAACAGAGAACCAAATCAAGAGCATAATCCCATTTACAATAGCCTACACAAAAATAAAATACCTGAGAATACATTTAACCAAAAAACTGAAAGATCTCTACAAGGAGAACTGCAAAACACTCATTAAAGAAACTGTAGATGACACAAATAAATGAAAGAACATCTCATGCTCATGGATGAGGATAGTCAATACTTTAAAATGACCATATCGTCCAAAGCAACCTACAGATTCAATGCAATCCCTATCAAAATACCAACATTATTTCCCACACAACTAGAAAAAAAAACAATTTTGAAGTTTATATGGAACCAATAAAGAGTTCAAATAGCTAAAGCAATCCTAAGTAAAAAGAACTAATATGGAGGCATCACATTGTCTGACTTCTAATTATACTACAAGGCTATATCAACTAAAACAGCATAGTGCTGGTAGAATAATAGAAAACCAGATGAATGGAACAGAATAGAGAACCCAGAAATAAAGTCACATACAATCAACTGATCTTCGATTAAGCTGACAAAAATAAACAACAGAGAAAGGGCATTCTACTCAATAAATGGTGCTAGGAAAACTGCCTAGCCATATACAGAAGAATGAAACTGCATCCTTACCTCTCATCATATACAAAAAATTAACTCAAGATGGATTAAAGACTTAAATATAAGACCTGAAACTATAAAAATCCAAGGAGAAAAAAAATAGACAATGGGACTTAACTAAACTTAGAAGCTTCGGCTCACCAAAAAAATACAAATGCAACAGAGTGAACAGAAAATCTATGGAATGGGAGAAAATATTTGCAAACTATGCCTCAGACCAAAAAAAAAGAATTCGAAAAATCCTAATATTCAGAATCTATAAGGAAATCAAACAACTCAACATAAAAAAAAAAAAGCAACCTCATCAAAAAGTGGGCAAAGGACATGATTGAACAATTCTCAAAAGAAGACATGCAGGGAGGAGGCGGGGAAGATGGCGGCCGAGCCAGTCGGACGATGCGAGTCCCCATGTGAGTGTATGGAAAATTTTGCGTACGTGCTGGTGAGTGAGTGGGTGTGTGCGTGGCTGACTGAGGGAGGGCTAGGGAGCAGCGGCCAGGGCTCTCCTGGTGCAGCGGCTGGTGCCGCAGCGTCTGGACTTGGACTCTAGGGATTCAGGGGATGCAGAAGCCCAGTGTCATTTTCTCTTTCTTTAAATCAACAAACCCTCCCTGGCAAGAAAACGCTGGGAGAGGCTGTCTAAGTGGGGCTCGCGAGCGGGTGGCCAGGCCCCTGGTGCAACAGCAGGTGCTGCAACTTCTCTACTTCATCCCTGGCTCTTCCTGGGTCATAGAAGCGGAGCACCATTGTTTTTTCAAAACAGACAGAAATTTTCCTTTGGAAAAGCAGCAGGGAGACACTATTGCCCCAGGCGCTCCCTCGCCATTGTAGCAGGAGAGAGACTACTCCCAGCTTTGCCTCATCACTTCAACACCTTGCAGGGTGCTGGTAGGGACTGCAGACAGTCCAGAGGCAAGTTCCCACTGAAGAGGACAAAAGAGGCACCCCACCACCATATTGAAGGCGGAGCAGGAAAGTGCCCACACTTGCTCATTACAACCCAACAGATCCGATCTTTGTGACTGACGGTTTGATCATAGCCCAAAGGGAATATCCTGAGAGCACAAACTTCACAGGGACCTGATGAGTGTTGAGTTCCAGATGCCCTACCCCCTACCCTGATCGAGCTGTGGGACAAAGGGTGTGGCCAGAAAAGGAGGAGGAAGAACTCCAAAGAGATCAGTGGTGAGTCGGGGGATGACCCAAACCCCATCCTTCCCAGCACTCTTCTGAATGTCAGACCCACACAGCTGGGCCACGACTGAGAGGGACAAACCCAGGCAGAGCCTGGATGTCAGCCACAATAGAAGAGCTCCATTATAGGATAGGCCTGGCTGTGGCACCCCAGTGAAAGTACATACTTGGGGAAGAGACAGTCCCAAACCTCCCTACCAGTGATCTCCCTGACCATAAGAGAGTGGGAGGGGAAGCCTGAGCCCCACCCACCTTCACTGCCCCTCCTCCTTCCCTGCTTCATTCCCTGAGGAGAGAATGAAAGAGGTGGTTCTATAGGAGAGACCTGATTAGAGGAACAATTACAGAGCCTCACACAAGAGGGTAGATTTTTTTGGTTTGTTTTGTTTTTTAAATTTTTGATTATTTTTTAATTTAAAAAATAATTTTTTGACTGTTTGCTTGTTAGTTCATCTACTTTAAAAATATTTTTCCTTTGTACATGAACGTGTATGTGAGGGTTTGATCTGCATCCCCACCCCCCCAAGTTTTTTTAAATTTTTCTTTTCTATTTATGTTTTTTTCTTCTTTTGTCGTTTTCTGTTTTTATGTGTATGTGAATGATTGAGTGTTCATCTTTTGATTTTTGTTGTGGTTGTTGGTTTTTGTTCTTTTTTCTTCTGGGTCTTTTTTATATTCTTTTTTATAGTTTAAGGGGAATGTCAATAGATGTGTGAGGGTTTGACCTGAATCCCCCCAACACCCCCTTCATTCTTTCTGTTTTTCTTCTCTATTCACTCTGTGCTAGGCATGTGTATCTGTGTTTAGTTTTCCTAGGGGTCTTTTTGTTGCTGATTGTTTTGTTTTGCTTTGCTGTTATTCCAATTTGTTTTGGAATGTGTGTGTGTCTGTTCAATTGCTTTTGCATTGGTTTCTGCTTTGCATCATCATATGGAGTGGTAGTGGGGAGTGGGTCTCAGAAAACACATATCACAATAAGTGAACATTTTAATTTGCAAGTGGTATCTGATTCCTAGTGCCCCATTCCCCACTTTATTCAAATTTCCAAAATTACAAGACAGCAAAGCTTCCCATCCACCATCCTATTTCAAAATAGGACAAATCCAGAGCCTGGATCAGGGAAGAACAGGGATCTGAGCAAACATCAGGAGGAAAAACCTCTCCCACTGACATTGAAAAACAGAACTAAAGAGAAAAACAAGAGATCTGTCACAAATGAGGAAAAGCCAATGGAAGACCTCAGGCCATTTCAAGTGTACCAAAGACAAAACTACTGAAAAATCAGACCTTGGTGCCCAAATAATGGAAGTCACTAAAGACTGTCCCCAGAACATGACAAGGATTAGGAAATGGTTGGAAAGAGTGAAGAGGACTCAAGAAAGACAAGATGCAACATTGAAAGAACTTGTAACAGAGATTTTGGAAATAAAAAATTTCATCCAGGAAATAAATAACAAGATGACAAGCATGGAAAGCAGAATTAATCTAGCTTAAGAAAGAATCTCAGAACTTGAAAACCAGAACATGAAATTAACCCAATCTGTAAAAAACATAGAAAGAAGACTCCGAAAGAAAGAACAAAGCCTACAAGAGATGTGCAATTATATCAAAAGGCAGAAACTATACCTGATTGGTATCCCAGAAAAAGAAAGGGAAATGGAGAACAACTTGGAGTGAGTATTCCAGGAAGTAAACCAAGAAAACTTTTCCCATCTTACCAGAGATGTGACCAGCCAAGCACAAGAGATAAAGAGAACCCCCAAAAGACATCAAATGAGAAGACCAACCCCTAGACACATAGTAATTCAACTACACAAAGTAGGTACAAAAGAAAAAATACTAAAGACAGCAAGAGAAAAGGTCAGACTACCTACCAGGGAAAACCAATCAGAATAGCAGCAGACTTATCAGCAGAAACACTAAATGCAAGAAGGGACTGGAGCCCTATATTCAAAGTCCTCAAAGATAAACAACTTAAACCAAGAATTTCTTATCCAGCCAAGCTCAGCTTCATCAGTGATGGAAAATTTAAATCCTTTCCAGACATCCAACCCCTAAGAGATTATACAGCTTCCTTACCAGCTCTACAGGAGACACTTAAAAAGTATTAAGCCCAGAAGAAAGAAGAAGATTGGCTGCACACTTCCCAAGAGAACAGCAGAGCACAGAATCAACAGATAATGCAGTGCAACAAGAAACTTGAAAACACACACATACATTAACCCCAAAGTCAAAAGAAAACAAGCAAACAAAGGAAAAACTTTGAAAGAACCTCATGACAGGGATAAACAATCATATTTTAGTAATCAGCCTGAATGTGAATGGACTAAATGAACCACTGAAAAGACAAAGAATGTTGGACTGGATAAGAAACTATGACCCAATTATTTACTGCATCCAGGAGACTCATTTCACTTCAAGAGATGCATGCCAACTCAAAGTTAAAGGTTGGAAAATGAATTTCTAGGCAAATCGATCACAAAAGAAGTCAGGAGTTGCAATCTCAATATCAGACAAAACATCCTTTAAGCTATCAAAAAGGACACAATATAATGATAAAAGGTTCAACAAGAAATATCCCTCCTAAACATATATGCACCCAACACAGGAGCACCAGCATTTATAAAACAATTAGTAAATAAACTAAAAAAAAGATACTGACTCTGACACTATTATAGCAGGGGACTTGAATACCCCACTGATAGCCCTAGAGAGATCATTGAGGCAAAAAATCAACAAGGAGATCCAGAACCTAAACTTGACACTTGACCAAATGAATTTAGTGAATACCTACAGATTATTCCACCCAACAACCACAGAATATACATTCGACTCATTACCACATGGAACATAATGCAAGATTGATCACATCCTTGGCCATATATCAAGCATAAACAAATTCCATTAGGTTGAAATCTTGCAATGCACATTCTCAGACCACAGTGGAATTAAAATAAATATCAACACCAACAAAATTTCCCCAAAACTCACAGAGACATGGGCACTAAATAGCATGATGCTGAACAACTACTGGGTCAACAATGAAATCAAAGCAGAAATTGAAAGATTCCTGGAAAAAATGAAAATGAAGAAACATCTTACCAAAACCTCTGGGATGCCCTGAAAGCAGTTTTCAGAGGGGAATTTATAACTCTACAAGTACACATCAAGAAAACGGAAAGATCCCAAGTGGAGAGCCTGACAAATCACCTAAGGAAGTTGGAAAGAGAGACCACCAAAACCCCAACTTTAGCAGAAGAATCTAAATCACAAAAATAAAAACCCAAATACGGGACATAGAAGACAAAATATCATAGAAAACATCAACAAAACAAAAAGTTGGTTCTTTGAAAGAATTAACAAATTGATGGGCCCCCAGCCAGAATGACCAAGACAAAGAGAGAAAAAGCCCAAATAAACAATCAAAAATACAAAAGATCAAATCACAACTGACCCCAAAGAAATACAAACGATTATCAGAGGTAACTATGTACAACTGTATGGAAACAAACTTGATAATCTAAATGAAATGGAGGACTTTCTGACATCACACAATCTCCCCAGGTTGAAACAAGAAGACATTGAGACACTAAATAGACTAATAACCACCCAGGAAATTGAGTCTGTAATACGAAAACTACCTACCAAAAAAAGCCCTAGACCAAATGGCTTTCCAGCAGAATTCTAAAAAACGTACAAGGAGGAGCTCATACCAAATCTACAGAAAGTATTCCAGGCAATTGAGAAAGATGGAATTCTCCCCAAATCATTTTACAAAGCTAACATCACACTGATACCCAAACTGGGTAAAAATCCAACAACAGAAAAAAAGAGAACTACAGGCCAATATCCTTTATGAACATAGATGCAAAAATCCTCAACAAGATTCTAGCAAATCAGATCCAAAAGCACATCTCAAAAAATCATCCACCATGACCAAGTAGGCTTCATCCCCAGGATGCAGGACTGGTTCAACATTCACAAGACCATAAATGTCATTAAATACATCAACAGATGTAAAAACAAGAACCACATGATTATTTCATTAGAAACAGAAAAAGCTTTTAGTAAAATCCAGCATCCCTTCTTGATAAAAACCCTCCAACACCTTGGTATAGAAGGAACATACCTGAAAATAGTAAGTGCCATCTACGATAAACCCACAGCTAACTTTTTGCTAAATGAACAGAAGCTGGAAACATTTCCCCTGTAAACTGGAACAAGACAAGGCTACTCACTCTCACCCCTCTTGTTCAATATTGTATTGGAAGTCCTAGCTCGGGCAATTAGACAAGAAAAGGAAATCAGGGGTATCCAAATAGGAAAAGAGGAAGTCAAGTTATCCCTCTTTGCTGATGAAATGCAGTAGACACCCTTATGACAATTGGAACTGGCAACCTATAACTTGAAAATCCAAGAGATTCTGTCAAAAATCTGTTTGCACTGATAAAGGACTTTTGCCAAGTCTGAGGGTACAAAATAAATGTGCAAAAGACAGTTGCACTACTATATACCAACAACAAGCAGGCAGAGACCCAAATAAAAAGCACAATCCCATTCACAGTAGCCACCAAAAAAATGAAATACCTCGGCATCTTAGTAACCAGAGAGGTAAAAGACCTTTACAATGAGAACTACAAAATGCTGCTCAAAGAAATCCAAGAAGATACAAACAAATGGAAAAATATTCCATGCTCATGGATGGGAAGAATCAACATTGTTAAAATGTCCATCCTACCAAAGGCAATCTACAGATTCAATGCAATACCCATTGTGTTAGCAACATCATTTTTCTCAGAGCTGGACACAACAATACAGAAATTCATATGGAAACATAACTACCACGAATAGCTGAAACAATCCTTAGCAAAAGACACAAAGCAGGAGGTATCACACTTCTAGACTTCAAACTTTACTATAAGGCTACAGTAATCAAAACAGCCTGGTATTGGTACAAGAACAAGCCCATAGACCAATGGAACAGGACAGAGATTCCTGAAGCAAAGCCTCAATTCCTCAACCAACTCATCTTTGACAAAGCCTCCAACAACAACCACTGGGGAGAGGAGAACCTATTCAGTAAATGGTGCTCAAAAAACTGGTTGACCACATGCAGAAGATTGAAACAGGACCCCTACTTATCACCATACACAAGAATTAACTCTAAATGAATCAAAGACCTAAACGTAAAACCTCAAACTATAAGAACCTTAGAAAATGCGGTAGACACCCTTATGACAATTGGAACTGGCAACCAATTCCTATTCAGAATCCTAAAGGCCAATACCTTAAGAAATAAGATAGACAAATGGGACCTCATCAAACTAACAAGGTTCTGCAGAGCAAAAGAAGCCATCAAGAGAGCAGGGAGACAGCCCACATAATGGGAAAAAATATTTGCCAACTGTATATCTGACAAAAGCCTAACATCTAGGATCTACAAGGAACTCAAATGCACCAAGAGGAAAAAAACAAACAGCCCCTTTAAAAAGTGAGCAAAAGACATGAATAGACACTTCTCAGAAGAAGATATATGGACAGCCAACAGACACATGAAAAGGTGCTCAACCTCCCTCATCATCAGAGAAATGCAAATCAAAACCGCATTGAGATGCCACCTAACCCCAGTAAGAATGACCTTCATTAATAAAACAAACTAACAGATGCTGGCAAGGATGTGAAGAAAACGGATTGCTTCTACACTGCTGGTAGGAATGCAAACTAGTGCAACCTCTTTGGAAGACAGCGTGGCAATTTCTGAAAGAACTAGTTATTGACCTTCCATATGACCCAGCAATTCCCCTATTGGGAATATACCCAGAGGAACTCAAATCATTCTACAAAAAAGATACCTGCACATGTACTTTTTTGCTCTATTCACAATAGCAAAAACATGGAACCTACCATATTGCCCATCGAAACTGGACTGGATAAAGAAAATGCGGTACATATACACAATGGAATATTATGCAACCATAAAGAAGGACAAACATATGGACTTCGCAGCAACTTGCATGAATTTGGAGTCGATCATACTCAGTGATCTATCACAGAAACAAAGAACAGAGTACCATATGTTCTCACTCATAAGCAGACCTTGAACACTTATAATACTATAAGAAAGTGTTTGGCAGTAATGGGAAACTGTCAGGGGAGGCAGGGGTGGGATTGGCAGTTGAGGGAAACTGCTAGGGGAGGGAGGAGCATACCTCATTAAAAAGGGACAAGGGTATGTGCATAATCAATGTTTGTATACCTAATCCTGAATTGTACCCCACATCTTTATAATTGAAAAAATATATAAATAAATATATAAATACATAAAAAGAAATAGAAAACAAAACACCACATGTTCTCACTTCCATGTGGGCTAAATTTTCATAAAGATGGAAATAATAGACACTAGGGTCACTAAAAGAAGGGAGGCAGGGAGTAGGGTTAGGGTTCAGAAGTTACCTCTTGGGGTAACTTCACTCTCTAGACAACAGGTCACCTGAAGCCCAAACTCAACCAGGGCACAGTATGTCCACATAGCAAACATGCACTATAGTTTGTAACCAAAATTGGTATCCATGTGGCAGGAGCCAGATTCTAAGGGGTTTCTAATCTCCCCAGCACTAAATATACAATGACTCTGAGGGCCTTCTTCCACTAAAAGTAAATGCCAGGATCCCTTAGCCACTCAGAACAGTAATCATGGCAGGAGAAGGGAGAGAGGTGAGGGAGGAGGCTATGTAGAAAATGCCAGTATTTGACTGTCAGACTCTCTAGGAACTGCAGGAAACCAAGAGTATGGCTTGAGTGCATCCACTTGCCAGGATCAGTCACAAGAGGGAAATGCTTATTCTTGCCCCATAACCACTCATGAGATGCTGTTGCTTACCATAAACTTCAGCTGGAAAGTCATATTTTCTATCTTGATAAAACAGGGATTCAGTCTCTAAAACACAAGAATGAAAATCATTTCTACTTCCCAATACAAAGTAGATTTTCTTTCTCCTTTTCATAGTGATAACCAAATGAAAAATACATTTAGCTCGGGTCTGGCACTGTGTGTTTTATGACTCAAGCAAAATCAGGTTTGGTATTTTGTCACGTATTGATCTATGTGGAACTCCTGTGAGCTATCTATACCTTAGTTCTGCTCTGTATAAATAATTAAACTGTAATAAGATGATTTTTATGTTCCAAGTAAATAGTAATATGTTTGGTTGTACCTCTTGATTGATTCAGCCTTCTCAGGGCATCTTTGAAGACGACATTTAAAATATATAAGCAGAAAAATGCTTGCCCTGGACTTATACCTGTTACACAGTAGCATCTAATTACTGCATAACAAATGGCCAAAAAAGAAAAACTGGATATAATCTTCAAAAGAGCTGAAACAACCAGAATACAAATTGTTGGTTTAGTTATTTCAACCCTCCAGCAATCTCAGTTACTGTTCAGTACTCAGTACAGAAACAATCCATTATTTCCCAAAATGGCAGATGCATTTTTTTGCCACCTACTCAAAGACCTAATATTCAGCTGGCTAATCATGTTTCAAAAATTACTTTCTAATTAAATTCCAAGTAAAATCCTTTACTAGCTGCTTTAAAAGATTTGTAGGATCTACAAGGATAAGCAATCAATGTATCAGGATTAAGAATGCTTTTGACATAAAAGCAATTACTTTGAGCATGGTTACAATTAAAGGAAATCACCTCTATGAAAACAATTTCCAATTAATTGATAACAATTAACTGATAACTGATAGTGTGAATCATTTCTTAGAAAGAATAACTGTAAGTGACAGATTCTTGAGTTGAGGGGACAGACCTTGTGTCTAGGTTTGGATGTCGAGCAACATTGATCAATGTTACATATCATTTTCTTTGTACTAAGACATTCAAACAGGGTAAATAAACAAAAGCATATCAAAATGACTTTGTGCTTTGAAATTAATATCCCCAAACACTTCCTAGGATCTCTGACACAGTATCCTTGTGCACACAGTGTATCCACCTTATACCAATTAAGTCTCTGTCTCTCTGTTCCTGCAGGAATAACTGAACTCCCTTCTATTATACCACAAAACAGTCATCAGCATTAACCAGTGCTGATGAAAGGTGTGACAGTTGTGGGATAGTGTAGAGAATGCTAAAGTTGAATCATTGTTAAACATGACACTATTGCTACCAGTAGTTAGGATTATTGCAACAATAAATAAGAAAGATCTAAATAGCTCTGCACATTATAAAGTTTTCATAGCATTCTAGTCATTTATGCTTCTGTATCTTACATAAGAACACATTTACAGAATGGCATGGACTATTCTTCCAACTACCTACATAACTTGGTTGATCTTTCAGAAACTAGATTTTGGTTTTTAGCATATGTGATATCATTATTCTATAATAATGACCTCCAACAAATGAGTCCTTCCTAGATCCTTATGCCTTTGCAAATCATGTTACCATTTTTTCTCTCAAGAGAGGGAGCATAGTTTTTCACCCTCCTGGATCTTATGATTTGCACTGACTAATGGAATGTGGTGAAACTGATACTGTGAAAGTTCTAAGGTCTCAGTCTCAAAAGGCCTTCCAGCACCCACTTTTGCTCTCTTGGAACCTGGCTGCCATATTAAGAAAATCAGGCTACCTGGTTGAGGAGAGAGACTCTGAAGGAAGACAGACTATATAAATGAGGAGAACCAATCCCAAAACTCCAGCCTTGGAAGATCATCTCAGATCGTCTCAACCAGGTTAGTCCAACTGTCAGCTGGATAGTCACCTGAGTTACTCCAGCCAACGCTACATAAAGCAGAGTCTCAGCAGCACTCTGTCTGAATCTTGACCCTCAGAACCCTTGGAAATAAGATAATTGTTCTTGTAAGCCACTGTGGTTTGTCATGCAATAGATAACTGAGACAATATACTTTCAGAAATAATGTAATATAGTTAACAGAAATCAATAGCTGGCATGATCTTTTTTTTTTTTAAAAAAAGGACTTCTCTTACATTGTGTCTATATCTACAGATTTATATTCACAATTAATTGTGATTTAGACAAGACAATTTGTTTGTTAGAATATAGTGAGCTATTAATTTTAAAAGTAATGGTTTCTTAGTAATAAATATAACATAAAATAGAATAACTTGAAGTTTTAAAACTCATTTAAAGATTTAATTTGAATGATAAATGTGTTTTTAATCCAAAAAAATTATAGGAAGTTCTATAATGTCTCAAAATGATAGTTTATGATAAATGTATGTTTTACTTGACTTAATCGTCTACAGAATATTAAATGATCTGTGTATAACAATTAATTATATAAAGAAGTCTTATGATTTATATTTTATGTAATAGAAAAGCTTTAAAGTCATAATATAAAAAAATGAGAGAAGTAAGTTTTATTCAGGCCTTTTTATATAAGTTTTGCTTATCTGAACTAGGTGGAATTGACTCTGAGTCTTATTTATATACCTCTACATTTACCAGTTTTGTTTTGTTTTTTTTGAGTTGGAGTCTCACTCTGTCACCCAGACTGGAGTAAAGTGGCCGCTCCTGGCCACCGCAGCCTCGTCCTGATGGGCTCCAGTGATCCTTCCGCCTCAGCCTTCCAAGTAGCCGGGATTACAGGCATGTGCTACCACGCCCAGCTGATTTTTTTATTTATTATGGAGATGAGGTCTCTCTGCCCAGGCGGGTCTCGATCCCGCGGGCTCAGGCAATTCACTCACCTCAGCCTCCCAAAGGCGCGGGATTACAGGCTGAACCACTGAGCCAGGCTACCAGTTGTGTTTTTTAAGTAGTCATTATAAATAGATTCTTCTCATCACATTTACTTTTTCAGTGAAAATATTTAAACTTTGTAATTTATCTCCAGTGAAGTAGACACCAGAGTTGCACTCAATGTTATGATCTGTGTATTTTTTCTCTACAACAGTCAAATGAAAGATCTAATAATTTTAACATTTAATTTTCATTTCCCTGATGATTAGTGATGTTGAGCATTATTTTCATGTTTGGTGGCCATTTGTATATCTTCTTTTGAGAAATGTCTGTCAATGTTGCTTGCCCACTTTTTAATGGGGTTACTTGTTTTATCTTGCTGACTTGTTTGAGTTCTTTGTAGATTCGGGATATTAGTCCTTTGTTGGATATATAGACTGAAAATATTTTCTCCCATTTTGTACATTGCCTATTTACTCTATTGATTATTTCTTTTGCTGTACAGAAGCTTATAAGTTTGATTAAATTCCACTTACTTATTTTTGTTTTTGTTGCATTTGCATTTGCTTTTGAGGTCTTAGCCATAAATTCTTTGCCTAGGTCAATGTCTCCAGAAGAATTTTTCCTAGGTTTCCTTCTAGGATTTTTATGGTTTCAAGTTTGACATTTAGGTTTTTAATCCATCTTGAGTCAATGAGATACCACTGTATACCAGTCAGAATGGCCATTATTTTTAAAAATGCAAAAAATATATATATATAAAATAGATGTTACCACAAATGTGGTAAAAAGGAAATGTTTATACACTACTTAGTATACATCCAAGGGAAGACAGATCATTATACAAAAAAAGACACCTGCACTTACATGCTTATTGCAGCACAATTCACAGTTGCAAAGATATGGAATCAACATGAAAATGTGATATATACCACATATATATAATCATATTACATTATATATACATCATCATATTGTATTATATATAATGATATATCAAACACATACACACAGTGGAATATGATTCAGCTATAAAAAAGAATGAAATAATATTTTTTGCTGCAACTTGAATGGAATTAGAGATGATCATTCTAATTGAAGTAACAGGAGCAGAAGACCAAATACCACATGGTCTTATTCATAAGTGGGAGCCAAACTAAGGGTCTGCAAAAGCACACAGAATGGTGTAATGGGCATTGGAGACGCAGGAAGGGGAGGATGTGGAGAAGGAAGTGATGAAAAATTGCCTATGGGGTACAATGCACACTAATGAGGGTGACAGGTATTCTGAAAGCCCAGACCTCTTCACCATTGTACAATGCATCCGTGAAACCAAAAGCCATTTGTACCTCTATAGCTATTGAATTTAAAATATACAAATAATAAAAATAATTTCAACAGTTAGATATCCTGACTACATGAGAGGTTGTGAGACATTCAGAATCATTCAGATATTCATTATCACATCATCATACATGTATTATATTATTATGCATTATTGTATATTATGAGTGATATATTTCATTATTTACATAATGATGAAATGTAGATAGGGAAGAATGGAATTCTCAAATAACTTTTTGATGCCGTCTCACCAAATGCCTTACATGTACTATTATTACTGGAAACTACTATAAAAAGTTAAATAGTATTTGTTTAATCTGTGGTCACAGCATCCAGAATGATTCTGCTAAAAGGAACTCAGACTATGTCTCTCTGCTCAAATCCTTCCTATGATCCCCATCTTACTTGAGTAAAAGCTGAAGTCTTTTCTACAACCCATAAGGCCCTGTGTTACCTCCCTCTGCCCACTTCTCTCCCTAACTTTATTCCACTACTCTTGTTCTCTTACTTCCTTCCAACCACAACAGGCTCCCCGTTGCCACGAACCTGCCAGGAAGGCTCCTGTCTCAGGCCTTTTACACTTGTTCTCCCCCTTGACCCAGAATGCTTTTCCCTCAGGTATGCATATGGCTGACTCCTTCAGGTCATCTGCTCAGTAAGTACTCTCTTGTCACCCTATCAAAAACGTTCTTCCCCTGCTCTACCTGTGCTGTCACCAGCACATCATATTCCCCTTCCATGTTTTATTTTGTCTCCTGAGCTCTGTACTATTTGTTTATTGATTTCCTAACAAGTTAACATATTAATTCCACTGGGAAAGAATAGTTGTCTTTTGTATTCATTCCCATATCTGCTGTTCCTGGAATAATGCCTGGCACATAGCAAATACTCACTACATATTTGCTGAGTGAATTACACACTCTGCTTGTTTATATTGAAAGACTGACTAATATGCTGGATATTGTGTAAGGCATTGGGGATACAAAGGTAACTAAGACACAGTCCTTGATCTCACAACTGGTGTGAGAGCTTAATACGTGTGACTGTGTTTGGAGAGAAAAGCTATTTTATATGTATAATACATACAAAAGAATGTGACCTCAATTTTATATGTAATTTTATATGTAGATTTTTAATTACATACAAAAAAGGACATAAATCCTATCTAAGGAGAGAGCTCAGTGAATACATATCCATGGCATCCATATTTTAGAACGTATTGACCTTCTTTATAAGCATTGAAATCAAATTTAATAAAGACATAATTAAGTCTTGACATCCTGGCATGTGCTTCCCTCCATTTGGGTAAAAGTCAAGGTGACCACAAGCATCTGTAGTTCTAATACCTGAAATAGATAAAAACAGCAAATGCTCCTAAAAATCTCATCTGTGCCTCTATGCAGTTTCTGTTGCTGTTAAAAACTTACCAAGCTCAATGAGGATGCAAGCTGCACGTGTATGAGTAACATAAACAAAGTTGGTATCTGAAGGGTCTAGCCTGACTTCCTTCAGAGTGCCATGGAAAAATGGCCTAGCTGGGTCCAACCCTAGAGAAAACTGTCTATTAAACCAAGACATGTTCTGTGGAAGAGCACATTGACAGTGTTTTATTTTGGAAGTATAGATGGTGAAGGCAAGTTTCTTTTCCTATATGATTTATATTGATCAAATATTACTCAAGACAAAGTGCAGATACATAAACTGAGTCTATAAATGTGGAGTCTGTATATATTGCAATATCAGGTTTGTACATATAAGTAAGGCTGTGTCAAGACAATACTAAAACAGCTAACAAGCTCAGAAAAATCACAGTGGTTATTCTAGAGTCTGTATATGGAATACCACATATACAATAGGTTATGGATTACAGAGGGTCTTGAAAAGCAACAACTGGAGGCTAAAAAATGTAATAAAATTTAAAAATAAGAGCTCCTCAATATTTAAAGATCAATCTACAAAGCATCACAGTTAAAATAATAGAATCTTTCTCCTCAGCTAAATATCTTTTAGTTCCATTTCATTATAATGAAATGAAAAGCCTGGAAATCTTCCAAATGCTATGATCATCCACATATCCACTCATTTCTGCATTTCACAATGATTTATCAAGCACCTATTATATGCCAGGAACTATGTGCCAGGTTCAGCACTCAGATACAAGAAATTAAGACCTAGCCTTGTCCTCAAGAAGCTTTTCCCCCAAGAATCTTTTTCCCAGGTATCCATATGACTAATTCCTTCAGGTTATCTGTTCTTACCATCCTATCAAAAATTTCTATGTGATGGGGGAGTCACCTCAATTCTGTGTGCTCAGTGCAGAGGCAGAGGTGAGCATAGGTGTTACACAAGCACAGAGAAGCAACATATAGCCTAGTCTTGGGGATTTAGGACATGCTTCTGCTGGAGATAGGAAATACAAGCAGAGATTTGAGGCACCAGGAGGGTCAGCCAGGGTAAAGATGGGTCAGGCAGCATCCTAGGGGAGGAGAGAGAATGTACATGGCCTCCAGGTGAGAGAGTTAAGCACATTTGGGAAACCATAACTAGTTTGCTAAGGCTGATGTATAGAGTCAAGAATTTGGTGAAAGATAATATTGCAAGCAGGAGTCAGATGACATCTGAGCCATCTCAAGGAGTTTTAATATGATTTGGCTGTCCATGGGAAGCTGTTGCAAGTTTGCAAGAGGGGGAGATTTATGGTCAGATTTATATTTTATCAAAATATATTTGCTGTCATATGGAGACTGGGTACCAGAGAGAAGAGGACACTGTCAGCAAAGTGTTACAGCTGACCCCTATGGAAATGAGGTATGAGCAAGAAATGAATGTGTGTGCCACAGCAGTAGGGTGTCCATTACTTCAGCACACTTAACTCTTCATGTGTTTGTTTTTATTTTTCGGACTAATGTAATCACTAAAAGAGGAACTATAGAATAAGAAGAGGAGAGAAGAGGGGGCCTAGAATGGAAATTTGAAGGATATTGACATCTAAGGGAAGGCAAGAGAAAAGAACTTCACAAAATAGACTGGAGAGAATCAGAAAAACAAAGACAACCAAGAAGATGTGGAACCACAGAAGCTGTGAAAGAACATTTCAACAAAGTGGGAGGGGTCAACTGGGTCAAATGTTGCAGAGGGGTCCAGTAAAATAGAGATTTTAAAAGTCTGGTAGAGTACCACTAAAAAAGCATTGGTGATCTGGAAGACTGGTTTTGGTAGAAGGGTGGAGAAAGAAAGACTTCAGTGGGCCAAGAAGAGAACAGACCCTAAGGAAATGCAGCCACTCTTTTGACTTTCTAAGAGTTTGAATCTGAAGGAACACAGCAAGTTGGGGCCTCTGTTAGAAGGGAATGTGAAGCCAGGGAGAAACAGGTGTGTTTCAGTGTGGTGTTTCTCTTGACAAGATCAGAGAAAAAGGCAATAAAGCCCCCAAAGAGGGGACTGGATTCAGAGCAAATGTGGAAAGACAGAATTAGACAAAAGAGTCAGTGAAGAACACCAACATGTATCTAAACAAAGCATTCATGCTCAAAAAAAAGAGGAAAAATATTTCATATTTATCTCATAATTAACTCTTCAAAACTCTAGGAAGTTTTTTGTTTGTTTTTTTCTAGTGTGATTACACACAAACTTCTAATGAAGTCAGGATCCCTGGAGAGAAACATCCAAATATAAGTGCACCTCACACCCTATTGATTGAAGAGCAAGACAATCAGATAAGGTAAAAAATAAATAAATAAAAACCAAACAAACAAACAAATAAAACAACAACTAGTCCTTCCAAGAGATGGGGAACAGGGAGCATTGAATTTGATGTTCTAGGATATCTCAGGAGAAAAGTCTACAGAAGGGAAGAGAACTATTAGGTTCAACCTATTAGTTGGCTTGAGGGAGAGAGATGTAACCCCCTGTAACCACTTGGGATTTGAGTTTATTAGTGTGTGTGTATTTGGGTGCATGTATGTGTCAGTATAATGAGAGTAAATTTTCCTCAGAAAAGGAAAGCACTGATGCTCTTTTTAAATAAAAAGAAAATAAAAACTAAATCAGCTGAATACACCCCTAACTATAGTCATTTATGAAGACTACTTACTGTTCATACATAATTATTAAATACATAGAAACTTATATGTCCTTAATGTGTTATCATATTAATTGTTTTATCTGATTTATTATAAAATTAAAATCTCTTTGAAGTATTGGCTCTTCTGTTACTCAAGGAACACAATTACTCAAAAGTCAATTACTTAGAGAAATATAAACTGCAAAATCTAAATTAGATAAATTATTTGGACATTCAGAGAGCTCTTAAAATTTAGATGTTTTTGATTTGTTCCACTGGATGATTCACTTGATGGAAAAAACTGAAGTTAAATAGTATTTGTTTTTTGAAAAAATTAATAAAAAACAAAATCTCTTTGAATTTACTGTAACCCAGAATGAATTTTAAATACATGCGCAGCTGTGTTCTTCCTTTTAATCTAAGAGGAGTCGTCTCCCAGGCTGTGTGGGCCTCAAGAGGTTCCACCTTCAAAAGTTGAACTCATTTCTTCTTTCCCCTGGGCTTGAAAACTGAGAGTGAAGGGGGATTTTTGCCACCTAACGGCTTTAGCTTAAAAAGACAAGTTTTATTATTCTAAATAAGAATGACGGTGGTGGTGGTGGGTGAGAGGGAGTTCACACACACACACAGAGAACAGTGGTTTAACAAATAGAAAATATGTACATACTATGTGCTGGGCTCAGAGCCAGTAGAATAAGGGAGTCTACTGAAAATAACAGACATAAAAAATTATTGAAAATAACAGACACGTAAACAATTATAAGACCATGTGATATAAATATTACATAATATTTATATTTTCAAATATAATAGAGGCATATATCAATGGGTATGGGAAGCATAGAGATTAATTCTGTCAAGAAGAAAGATTTGAGCTAAATCTTGAAAAATGAACAATCCATGTTCAGGGAGGGGGCAACAGCATGCACAAAGGCACAGAACATGAAAAACTATGATAAAGCATGACGAGTCGACATGACAAGCTAAGAAGCTTTAGGCAAAGGAAACTCCTGAGAGGTTTTGAGCAGCAGAGTAGCACAGCCTGGATTTAGAAAGAGGCCTCCAGCACTGCCTGTAGAAGACTGGGCTGGGGTACAAGGTCAAACAAAACACAGGCATGAGATGATGAGGAACTCAGTCAGGAAAATGAGCAGATGAAGGAGACATAGGGCTTACTGACTGATTGTTGGTGGGATATGCAGAGGCGAGAGGCCAGCCCAGTTCAGCCTGTCAGCAGTGGAGGTGCTGCTTTGATCTTCATCCATCTTACTCAATTAGTTTGGAAATCAGGATGCAGGGTAGTACTATGATTAATTACCATACTTAAAAATTCAATTCATAGTATGTATTTTACTTTGCAAATTATTTTTAGACTCAACAGTACATCCAGGAATAGTATTAAATATTTAACAATTGGGTGAGCTTGTCCAGGTGTGTCATGGACATCCTTCCAGGACAATCAGTGGGACTCAAACTTGTTCTTTTCTTTTACTTTTAAAAATTGGTGTATAATAGTTGTACATATTTGGGGGTTCCATGTGATATTTTGAAACATGTATATAATGTGTAGTGATCAAATTGGTAATTGGGATACCCATCACGACAAACATTTATCTTTTGTTTGTGTTGGGAATGTTAGAATTCTGCTTATCCAGAAATTTTGAAATATATGATAAATTATTGTTAATTGTAATTCCCTACTGTACTACTGAATATTAGAAAATATTCCTACTAGCTAACTCTATTTTCCTACCCATTTGCTGACTTCTCTTGATCCTCTACCTCCTTGTCTTCCCAGCCTCTGGTAACCACCATGCTGCTCTCTACCTCCATGTCAAACTCATTCTTTGTATTAGTGGTGCGGAATTCCAACAAATGGAATGTGTCATAATTCATTCAACCATTCCCCTACAGGTGGGGAAATCACATAGCTTCTGTTATTTTGCCACCACAGATAATGCCACAGTGAACACCCTTGAACATGTATGTACACACATAGGTTTTGAAAACAGTCACACTGGGCATGGTGGCTCAAGTTTGTAATCACAGCACTTTGAAAGGCTGGGGTGAGAGGATTGTCTGAGTCCAGGGGCTCAAGACCAGCCTGGGCAACTTGATGAGACCTCATCTCTACAATAGATAAATAATTTTAAAAATTGCCAGGCGTGGTGGTGTGCGCCTGTAGTTTCAGCTACTTGGAAGGCAGAGGAAGAAGGATCACCTGAGCGCAGATCAAGGCTGCGGTAGCTGTGAGTTTACCATTGCACTCCAGCCTGGGCGACAGAGTGAGATTCCAACTCAAAAAAAAAAAAAAGACAGTAAACACTGTCATGTTTTATTTTACATGAGTCACATTTACATGTGCTTCTTCTATTGTATTTGGTGTTCAGATACTTGTATGTAAAAGAACATGGAAACAAATACAAGGCCTAACTCCAGGGCATGCTTATCAGTTATTCTTCCAAGGCCTGGTATCCTTGACCCAGCTTCCCTAGCCAGATGTGCTCCCAAGCTAGGGCCAATCAAGTGCACTTTAGAAGGGGAATATCCAATTTTTTTTCCAATAGGATCATTTTAAAGAAAAAATAGAACAAATATATATTTTTTAATTTTAGAGTATATACAGAGTGGGTAGAAATGCTTAAATATGCTTTCCAAAATTAAAACAAAAAAGTCAACATGGTTCTCCCTTTCACACATAAGATGGGAACTGGTAAAGTGACAAAGTCACATCTCTGCCTACCTATATCCTTATCTGATCAAAGGAGAACATGCGAAGAGCCTAGAGAAATGCCTTCTACTGTAGTTCTTCCCCTTGTGTCAAGGGACTGTTCTCTCGAGAGCTAAAGAACAGTCTCAGTAACTGCATTTGTGACTTCCAGCTCCATGCCAATCTTCCCTGTGGCCCAACCCTTTCAGCACATTCCCAAAACTGTTCAAAGGCAGCTCATGGCTATGCTGTTATCCACCTTGCCTGTATCTGTCTCCTCCAGGTTAAGGCAACACTAGGAAATATCTGGGATAACTTTAGTTCTTAAAAGAGGAGCATTTAAGAATATTCACAAACTCAAAAAACTCACCAGCAAGAAAACAAATAACTTGATTTAAAAATAGACAAAGGATTTGAATAGACATTTCTCAAAAGAAGTCATACAAATTATCAAGAGGTTTTTAAAAAAATGCTGAACATCACTAGTGATCAGGAAAATGCCCATTAACACCACACTGAGATATCAGCTTATACCTATCAGAATGGTTACTAACATTAAAAGGAGGAGGAGGAGGAGGAGGAGGAGGAGGAGGAGGAGGAGGAGGAGGAGAAGGAGTTTTGGCAAGGATGTGAAGAAAATGCTTCTATGCTGCTGGTGGGAATGGGAATGTAAATCAATTTAGCCATTATGGAGAACAGCATGGAGGTTTCTCTTAATTCTAAAAACAGAACTACCACATGATTTAGCAATCCCACTTCTGAAATATATACAAAGTAATTGAAATCAGTATATTGAAAAGATATCTGCACTCTTCTGTTCACTACAGCATTATTCACAATAGTCAAGATACAAAATCAATCTTTTGTCCATCAATGGATGAATGGACAAAAAAAGTAGTATACACATACAATGATTCTTTATATACTACTTAGTCTTTGAAGAGAAGGAAATTCTGTCATTTATGACAAAATGGATAAACATGAATGGTATTGTGCCAAGTGAATAAGTCAGGCACAGAAAGACAAACACTGCTTGATCTCACTAAGATATGAGTTTCAAAAATTAAGTTTATATCTTCAGAGGTACTCACAGAAAAAGAAAATAGAACTTACAGAAGTAGAGAGTAGAATGGTGGTTACCAATGGCTAAAGGATGAGGAAGAGGGGGAATGGGGAGATGTTGATCAAAGGGTACACATTTGGGTTAGAAAGGAGAAATAAGTTCTTGAGATCTATTGCACAGTATGATGACCATAGTTAGTAATAATGTTTTATATATTTCAAAAATGCTAAAAGAATAGATTTTTAAATGTTCTCCCTACAAAAAAGTGATAAGCATGTAAAGAAATTGATATGTTAATTAGGTTTATATAATCATTTCACAACATATAGATATATCAAAACATCACACTGTACCCAATGAAGATATACAATTGCTGTTTTTCAATTAAAAATAAATCTTTAAATAAAAATAAATATTCACAGACTATATACCTACAGATAAAAAACAAATAAATAAAAATTAATGCACTAGAGAACAACTGAACAGATATTTCTCAAAAGAAGACATGCAAATTGCCAAGTTTGTTTTTTAAAATACTGAACATCATTTTTTTTATGATCAATATTTTTTATTATGATATTGTGGGGTACAGTTAAGGCTTAGGTATACAAATATATTTCGTTCAGGCACCCATGTTGATAAGAGGTGTTTCCTCGTCCCCAGACAGATATTTACTACCATTAATGCCATCTCCCTCCCCCACCCCATAGTTTCCCACTACTGTTAGTCATTTTCTTAGAGTATTACATTGATTGTTCAAGGTCCACTATATGAGTGAGAACATGTGATACTTAGATCTTAGTTTCTGTGAAAGGTCACTCAGTATTATAGACTCTAGTTCCATCCAGGTTGCTGCAAAATTCATGATTTTGTTCTTTTTTATGGCTGCATAGTATTCCATCGTGTATATGTACCACATTTTTAAAACCAGTCCTCTTTTGATGGACAGCATAGTTGCTTCCAGGTTCTTGCTGTGATAAACATATGTGTGCAGGTATCTTTTTTATACAGTGATTTGAGTTCTTCAGGATATATTCCCAGTAGGGGG